GGAGTCTGAACCGGCATCTGACACCTCCTCTTCCAAAGGAAGTCCCTTTTGCATCTTTTGGTAATTCTTTCGCCTATTAATCCCTGACCGCAATCGAGTCATGCGCTGGGATACTTCAGCAAGCTGGTCTGAGTTAGAGTATCGTGTCGATTTTCCTCTGCCGGTCATATTAGCAGACACCTCTAGGAGTTCGTCTTCTTGGCGGACAGGCTTCTTCCTATGGAAACGCCTTGGCTTGGTCTCGGACGTTCCGGTGGAAATTCTCTCGGACACCGAAACTCTCCTTGGGGCTTTAGTACAGCAGCATTCTGACAATACCGCCTTGATTATGTTGTCACACGGACAGTGAGATTCCGTGTCTCGAGCATCTCTCTTTCGAGGCTTACCCGCACCCCCAGCTCTATAGTACAACTCATCAGTTTGATAACTGGAGCAACCCATAGAGTGTTGGCATGACTTCCTAGGTATAACACAATCATCATCAGACGAATGTGTTTCTCTCTGGGGATATGACGCTTTATTAGCGTTTTCAAAAGTCGCTCATTCAAGTCTACGCTTTTGCGAGCGTGAAAACTTAACGGGCTCTTGAACTTCGACCCGTAATCCAATGCGGTCGGTAACAGGGGCTTTCCCTTTGTTATCTTTCTTGGGGGAATTAGCATGACCCCCAGTCTGGTTTGTTGTTTGGGAACCTTTCAACGGTCCCAATCGCTCCTTGACAGGTGCTTTACCTCGGTTTTCCGGTAAAGGACCGAGACGACCTTTCAAAGGAACCTTGGATCTAGGAAGACCCACGTTCTTACCTGGCTCCGCCGGAGGGGCAAGGGAAACGGGATCTGGATTTGACGAAGGTTGGACGGCAATTCCGTCCACTTTTGCCTTTGGCGCCGGTTTTGCCTTTGGCACCCACATCTGCTTGTGTTTTGACGGTTTCTTGACCGTCTCTTCCTTCTGCATCTCTTCCGCTTTCTGCAGAAGGACTCGGGCATCCGCAAGCAATACGCGGCGTTTCTTGATTCGCTCTTCGAGGGTTGAGCGAGTCCTCTTGACACGGACCCATTCATTTGTCTCCGCTTTAGAGGAGGAGTTGGTTGTTCGCCGTTGTTGCACCTGGCGCTGTCTGGACTTTAGATCCTCATTGTAGCGGATCCCGTCCATCGATTCTGCGGCCTTGGCCAACTGTCGCGCACGGCGCTGACGCCGTCTCTGGCGCGCCTTCTTTGACAAGGTCGGGGCACCTTCAGCAGTTGACTTCGCGGCGGAAGGGAGATCTGGATCTGCAACTTCGACCACGTTAGACGCCATTGGAGCGTCGCGGTGAGTAAGTGCAACGGCGGCGAGGGGATCTTGGATCTCCGATCCTGAGGGCCCGTGAGTACTCTTGGAAAATGAAATCTTCCTGCTCCTGTTTGGAGAGGCGGATCTGGAGGAGGAGGAAGAGAGGTACTCTTCAAACTTTTGTTGATCGAACTCGTATTCGATCTCTTCGTTCACTCGGATCTTGAAGGCCGGTTGCGTCACGACGGCCTCGGGAACGGTGCCGTTGGCTCCCACTGTGGTCGCCAGTTTGTTTTCGTCAAAAATTGCCGTCATCATTGATTTCATTAAAACTTTAAACGTTACAAATGAATTCAAATAACAAAGAAATAAAAATTACAACTTTCTTGAAAATAAACACAAGATCCGTTCGTCGTCTCTTGCTTGCGTGGGTCTTTAGCCTGTGACGGGGACGTCGATATCCGTGGACTACCTGGCAATCAGATCTGATCCAGAGCTTCGTCAATCTGCGAGGAGATCTAGAAACTTGAAGCGCTTATCTCGATAAAAGCGAGATATTTGCTCTTCTTAGTATTATCACAACGGGATAATACTAAGGATCGGGTACGGGTGATGTAGATCTGACGAAGAAACTCTCTTGCTTTGAAGTGCTCGATCACTCTTCACTCCGGCAGGGCTTCGCCAGTTCTCCAAAATTCCAGATCTGAAAAAATGAGGCCTAAGGCTTGTATTTATAGGCATGAGGGGTCGCGGAGCGGTTAAAACCACTTAAAGGGCCCAAATCCGCACTGAGACACCCTAGGGGTGCGGTTAAAACCACTTAAAGGGCCCAAATCTAAACCGAGACACCCTTGGGGTGTCTTGGCTTGGCCGAGACACCCTTGGGGTGTCTTGACTTGGCCGAGACACCGTAGGTGCCTCAGTTCAGCTTTGAAACGTTTTCAATGCCCGTTTGACCGTTTTCGCTGTAACTTCTTTGTCTGAACTCGGATCTGAGTGATTCCAAATGCATTGGAAAGCCGACAAGGAGTTCTATCAGCTCCAATAGTTGGATTATCTGTAAAATGAATGAGACACGAAGGGCATTGTTCCCTTTGTAAACATTGCGGGGCTCCCGATTAGCCCGCACCTTCGTTATTCCGGAATTCTGTCAGCTCACGTAGTTCGTCGGTTCACTTCAAGCGTTCACCGACATCAGTCGAACTCCTATGAACCAGATAGTGACGTTCATTGTTGTTCCTTAACACTGAGCTGTTCGTGGAGACCTATAGGCAATTTTCAATGCCTACAGAGTCACATGATAAGTAACAATAGAATCCAGCATCCAATCCGATGCTTCCATATGGTTAATCTCTAGAGTAATCAATAGAGAAAAGTATGAATCATCGGAATCATTACCACTCTTAGCAACATTCACCTCACTGGCCTTCGAGCCTTTCTTCTTGCTATTCTCCTTCTCTCTTAACTTTGGGCAGTCTCTTTTCCAATGTTCTTGTTCTCTACAGAAAGCACACTGATTTTTTGCAATTTGGTAGTGACCTCTTGACTTTGACCTGCCTCGATTACCACCTCTAGGATAGAGACTCCTTCCTCTTATCGACAAGGCTTCTCCTGAAATACTACATCTAGAAGACATTTTATCCTTCCTTCTCTAATTGAAATTTTTCAATGCATTAGTCACTTCACTATAGATGATAGAAGATCTACCATTCAATAATATAAGCACAAAGGTGTCAAAATCCTCATCGAGTAATGAGCCTAACAAAATGATTGCCTTGTACTCATCCGATATCTTCTCATCAACATTCACCAAGTCCGACAATAACTTTGTATAGTTGTTCACATGATCTGCAAGTGAGGTACCCCTAGACATCTGGAATCTGAATAATCTCCACAGGAAGTGCAACCGGTTCTTAACACTCTTCGTAAGATACTTGTTATTGAGAATATCCCACATCCTCATTGTAGACATCACACCAATAACATCATAGTTTAACTCCTATTCTAAACAAGACCTGATCATCCTACAAGCATTTCAATTCATCTTGTCCCATATCGCCTCATCATATTTAGGTGGCCTCTCATTAGTCATTATCATCTCTTCCAAGTTTTGAGCATTCAACGCATCCTGCACATCACTCATCCACAACCCAAAGTTGATTTTATCGTCATACTTCACAACACTAATCTTTGTGTTCTGAAATACAACCTGAACTATACTTGATGCATCCTTGCTACTTTCACCACATTTTCCTGCCATTGTTTACTAACTCCAAATTGTAGAGGAAAGATTTAAAATTGATAGAGTTGATAAATCACTCAAAATTAAACCCTAGATAGGATTCCAAAATAATCTCTCAACCACACCCAGAAGGCCAGATCTATAATGGCAACTCCGCAATACTATCTCCACTGAAACCTAGATCTCCAAGATCCAAGTTTCCAACACCGAGTTTTCCTCCACCCAAATCAAACCCTAAATCTGAAATCCGGCTTTGATACCACTTTTTGCGTCTAGCGTAAGTGGACTCGATCAATCCACAACAAGTCGGTAAGCAACCAATAAAGAACACCATGAGCATAATTTACAATAAAATGATCAAAACCAATTACAAACACAGAGATTTACGTAGTTCGGCAAGTTGCCTACATCCACGGGGAGAGGATGTGGAGATTTTACTATATGGAAGAGAAACACAATGAGTTATAACACTCAAACATTCACAATAACCTTAACCAACAAGATCTCACTCCCTCTCAATAATCTCTCTCTCAAAGTGCTCAAACAACTTTCTTTTCTCTAATTAAAAACCCTAACAAACATTTTTCTATTTATATAAACACCCAAATCCAAAACAAGCTAGGAAACAAATCAGTCCAATAACCCACTATTGGTCGACTGATGAAGCCTCATAAGTCGACTGGTAGGTGTTCATCGGTCAACTGATGAAGGTTCATCGGTCAACTGATGAAGGTTCATCAGTCGACTGTCCAATGCGATTTTACAGTTCCTGCACCCATGCTATCGATCGACTAATCACGCCCATTAGTCGATCTACCAGAGTGTTACGGTAGACTGATCGGCGTGATCAGTCGACCGACCAGAGTGTTTCCTATAGCTGCTTTTTCATGCGATTTTTTCGCCTCTTTCAACATGCATGTAACCCCACAACTACCATATAAATCAAGAATTCGAGATAGAATTCTATACCCATCAAGATTATGAATATTTATCTTTAATATAAGATATTATCCACCCACTTATTTATCTATCTCCTAGCCATAACGAACACAAGACAACAATGCAGACTCAGTTCTCTCTCTGTACCAATTGCCAACTGCAGGTTAAAAAGCCAGGAAAAAAAAAATAGAAACTACATTCAACACCGCCGAAGCAATCATAATCCCCAACAGACCACTGCAATGCAGCAACACATTCAGCCCACAAAGCACGTTGGCACGTGGCCACTGTTCCTCTCTCTCTCTCTCTCTCTCTCTCTCTCTCTCTCTCATCCAATTAATTAATTTATCTTTAATATAAGATATTATCCACCCACTTATTTATCTATCTCCTAGCCATAACGAACACAAGACAACAATGCAGACTCAGTTCTCTCTCTGTACCAATTGCCAACTGCAGGTTAAAAAGCCAGGAAAAAAAAAATAGAAACTACATTCAACACCGCCGAAGCAATCATAATCCCCAACAGACCACTGCAATGCAGCAACACATTCAGCCCACAAAGCACGTTGGCACGTGGCCACTGTTCCTCTCTCTCTCTCTCTCTCTCTCTCTCTCTCTCTCTCATCCAATTAATTAATTTAACTCCCTCAATTCTCCTCTCCTTAACTGTTGAATTCAATCTACTACCACTGAAAGAACTCTAACAACCAGCTGTTGCTAGCTGTAACCCCCCCTCCCCTCTTCCTTATCATGTGATCTCCTCATCTCCTTCTTTCTTCTTCAAGCCCTACAAAGCTAAGCAAAACCAAAACACGTTGGAGTCACAACCGCATTGCTCGAATCAAGACTAAGTATGGCCCAACTTCCACCAAAGGCCCCCAGCTGGCCCAAGCCTCCCCCCTCAACGGCCCCATCGTGGGTCGACGAGTTCCTAGACTTCTCGGCAGTCAGACGTGGGTCCCACCGGCGTTCGGTCAGCGACTCTGTTGCGTTCTTTGAGACCCCGCTCGCTGATGTACATGTTTTCGGATGATGTGGCGCCAGGCGCAGCGGGGCCCGTGTCAGGGCAGGTGTCGTCGTCGAGCCCGTCATCGCCGTCGGATCACAATAGTAATAATGAGGAGAGTAAAGGGGTGGCGGCGGAGAAGCAGATGCAGAATGATACGGAGGTGGAGAGTGAGTGTAAGGGTGCTGCAGGACTTCAGGGTGGTAATGTGAATAATGGGTCGGATCAGAATACTATTGACCCGAAAAGGGTTAAGAGGTTAGGTTTCATTAAATTTTGTTAAGAACTTCTTGTCGATGTACACTAGGAATGATTATTTAATAGAAATGTGATGGCTCTATTTTATTTTATTTTATTTTATTTTCACTGTTATCTTTATACAAATGATGAGAAGTTGAAAAACAAGTTCGAGGAAAATACATTTGTTTTAAAGATGAAATTGCTCATTCCCTTAATAAAGGGGAAAAAATGCAAAATAGACCGTTTTTATAAAATATATAGCGAAATAGACTGCTTTGGTAAAAAATTAGCAAAATTGACCTCTTTTTGGCCTAAAAAAAGGTCGATTTTGCTAATTTTTTACCAAAACGGTCTATTTCGCTATATATTTTATAAAAACGGTCTATTTTGCATTTTCCCCCCTTAATAAATGATACAGTTTTGTCCTTGTTTGTTGTACTTTGTATAGGTCAGGAAATTTTCACTGTACTTACTAAATGACTTTGGTTTTTTGTTAAACGTCGTAATGCATGGAGGTTTTTCTATTTAAATTTTCTTCGGAAAATAATTTAGATACGATTTTAAATTTTTGTTGTATTAGGATCCTAGCCAACAGGCAATCAGCACAAAGATCTCGAGTGAGAAAGCTGCAGTACATCTCCGAGCTCGAGCGCAGCGTAACAACATTGCAGGTTCGTATATATCATTAATTTCCAATTGAATGTTTGATGTTTTGGCAGCGTGCAACTTTGCAAATAGTGAATTAAATTTGTAAATTCTGCATTTCTGGATGGTGTTACGGTAATTTTGTAGACCGAGGTTTCGGCATTGTCTCCGAGAGTTGCGTTCTTGGATCACCAGAGGTCGGTTCTGACAGTAGGAAACAGTCATCTCAAGCAAAGGATTGCCGCACTTGCACAAGATAAGATCTTCAAGGATGGTGAGCTTCATTCCTTCCTTCCTTAATTAATTAATTAATTAATAGCTTCATATATATGTTAAGCAATGCCAATAGCATACGCTTATCTTTTCTTAGTTCATGGGAACTTTATTAATTCACTAGCTAGTTAGATTAAGTTTTCAACGCTGAATTGCACATAAGAGTCTCTATAGTATTGTTGTCTTGAACTTACTTCATCGACTCCGTGGGTCAAGTTTTTTTTGCTCTTTTACTGTCAGAGGTAATTGCCAAGTTCACCCAGAGTAAAAGAGTTAAAGAAATTTAACTTAGCGGTCTATCCGTGGAAATGCAACTACAAAAATAGCACGTTTAAAATAGCGATCCTACGAGGGTTTGTGCAATTTACTTCTAGAGTTAAACCAGCATTTATCAGGCAAAATACCAAGTAATTTCAGATTTTGGCTACTAAAAAATAAAATCGTACCAGCTCATTTCAGGAACCGTTGAGGAACCTAAACAGAGCTATTTTAATTATCTCATGTCCTTAGTACATGCAAAAGAACTAGTACGTGTAATTGGTACCGGTCTCTTTGCGCGCTGGATTTATAATAGAATTGTTGTCTTGATCTTCACTGTTCATATTGGAAAATTTTGTTCTTATTTGGAACTCATGGCAGTCGATTAGAGTAGGTTATTGGTAGAAATTAATGTCGCTGAACTTAAGGGGTTAGTGGTAATTTTCCTCCAATTATTTGCGAAGCAACTACTCCATAATGTTATTTTAAACTGTCATGCATACGCATGATAACTGTCGCAAGTGGATCTCAGTTGCCTCTTTGTACACTTCATGTTCTATTGGATTCTGCAAATGATATTTGTGACCTATTGTATTTTCATGGATAACTATATATGAACTAATACTATATTAATTAATTCAAATAATATTCACATAAAGAATACTTAACCAATATATTTGTTATTAAGAAAATAATTGTCCGATATGTTGAATACAGTTATCCATGCAATTTAATAAATTAGAGGATTTACCTCAAAAAGTTATAGTATTTTCTCATACTAGACCCTAAAATCTTTTATATTTAGAGATTAATCCCTCAAATCTTTATGTTTCTAATAAAAACACTCAAATTCTTTTAGTTGTTTTAAGTTACACGCCCTTGTCAATTTGTAGTTTTAGACCATATTTTGTTGAGATTTACATTAACAAAATTTGACCATTCTATCCGTAGAAATGGGTCACATCTTCACTAAAATTAATTTAGCCGATTATTGATAATGCTATCATGTTGATATGATTTTATTCTTGGACGTAGCTCATCAAGAGGCACTAAAAAAGGAGATTGAGAGGTTGAGACAAGTCTACCATCAGCAAAACCTCAAGAAAATGTCTACCCCTGCATCGGAAGCCAATGCTCTTGGCATGGACAAAGAGTTAGTCAGTTGAGGCTCATTAAATCTCAGGCCTGAAACCACTCTCTCAGTGGAAATGGTGAATTTGTTCATGGAGGAAGAACATTATATATCGTTGATTCGTTTATTGTTGTATTCTTTGTGAAATTTTAATTTTCTATTCTTATTTTTATTTTTCAATTTCTTTCTAATTGTTTTCGTGATTTTTCCTTATGTTTAGTAGGCGGATGTTAGGGGTGGGATAGAGTCTTGGTATGATTCAAAGGTGTTTTCTTTTTTGACTGCAATAATTCTGCATCAGAACGAAAGCTCGTGGCATGTATTCCTCGTGTTTCCACTAGCCAGTAACGTGTATTTTCATGAGCTTGCTTTAATTATCACCAAAAAGTTCGTTTCATTCTAGCAATCTGTAAATTAATGTTATATGCTTCACATGTTACTCTCTCAATAAGTACAACTGATAGGTGTAGGCGTCAAAAATTGCCTATAGGTTCCCACACGCAGCTCGAGACGGAAGAAAGATAGACGATGAACGTTAAGTCAACGATGATTATCTGATGCCGTGAGGAAGCTAACAAGCGCATGAAGCAAGTTGACGAAACATACGAGTCAACGGGACGACAAAATAGCAAAGAAACGACTCGATCGGGAGTTTCGTTTTACCCACGAACGATGAAGTGCCACTCGTGTTTTGTTCACTCCACATGTGTTTCACCCATTGGAGGTTGTAGATCTCTTCTGGCTTTCTAATGCATTTTCAATCACGTCATTCCGAGATTGGACGGGAGAATTAGAGGCGAAACAATCAAAACACGCCAACAACGTCTCAGCCAATGGCCAAGAAACCATTGGTTTCTCGGCCCATGGTCGAGACACCAATGGTGTCTTGGCCCAAGGGCAAGACACTAGCGGTGTCTCACACCCAGAAAAACCGTTTTTCGCCCGTTAACCGTCCGGAAACCTATTTTTCGATAAGATTTCAAGATTTCCTTATTTCACGATCTCTCTAACTATTTGAGGCTATCTTTTAACGTGGTTAAGTGGTTACAACTGAGGATAAGATCAAATCGTTTGTTCTTATCCTAAAACAGAGCTTGTGAAGCCTATAAATACAAACCTAGGGCCTTCATTCAGAGGGATTGGGAATTTCGGAGTAATGACGAAGCCCTATTGAATTGGAGAGTGAGGAGCATGAATTTCAGTAAGGAGGAAGCAAGTTCTTGGTGAGTTCTTTGACAAAAAGGAGGAGAGTTCGATAGATCTGCAATCGCTTCAGCCTTGTTCATCTGCTTCCCTTGAGATCGCATCGTTGCTGTGATCTCGAGAAGAGTGTTTATCTCACCGTTACTAAGATATTCATTTTAATTTCTTATCTCATTCATGAGGCAACGAAATCAATTAGATCTGACCATTTGGTGGTCACAGATAAACCCCGGCACTGGCAAAGATCTCACACAAGCAGAAGACCGATAAATGATCTATTTGCGTGTGTTTTCTAGAATGTTGTAATTTTTCAATCTCTTTTGTGTAGAGAGATCTTATAAAAAGACTCCTCTTTTGAATTCGTTGTAAACACCTGAAGTTATAATGAATTCATCAAAGAAATTAACTTTTGACGCGAACATGCTGGCGACCACAGTGGGAGCCAACAACCTTGCTACCGAGGCTGTCGTGCCGTAGCCGATGATCAAGATCTCTGTAGTTGAAGAGGTCGAATACGAGTTTGAATAGCAAAAGTTCGATGAGTACGTATCCTCCTCCTCCTCCAGATCTTCTTCTCCTTACAAGCGCAGGAAGACCACTTCTGTGAAGAAGGTTCATTGGCCTTCAGATCTGAAGACTTAGGGTGACTATCTTCGCCCAAGTGCTGTTGAAGACTCCTCTCCGGCGTCCAAGGAAGTCAGATCTGATGCTCATAACAACTCCCCAAAAGTCAAGGAGTTATCTGTTGAAAGCGCACCAGTTCTGACGAAGAGGGCTCGTCAGAGAAAGCGCCAACATCTTGCCAGTCAATTCACCAAAGCTCTTGAGCAGGTGGACGGACTCCGCTATCAAGTGGATTTAGAATTTAGAAGGCGCCAAATGACTAAGCCTTCACTGCATCAAGCAATGGGTTCCTCCTCCTAACCTCCAACTAACAAATGGATTCGTGTCAAACAAACCCGTTCTACTCTTGAGGAGCGTATCCACCATACACTTCTTGCGCACACACGAATCCTTAGGCAAAAAGCACAAAAATTACAAAAGGAAGAGGTGGTCAAGGAATCACTAAAATCCAAGAAAGTTTGGGTGTCAAAGGCCAAAACAATGCCAAGAACGGCATCGAAAATAGCCAATATGTCTCCACTTGGGGAGAGACGTCAGTCGTGTCTCTCACCGAATTCTAGCTCCAAGGCTACCTCCCAGCCTTCGTCAACTTCTGATCCCGTTCCTCTTGCTCTCGCACCTCCAGTGAAGCCCTACGGTAGCATAGATCTCTCCAAGTTTAGGATTTCGTTGAAGGATCGTCTTGGTCCTCTACACGAAGATCGAGGTAAAACTCTTGTTAAGGAACACTTGGGTCCACTGAATAATTCTCGAGCAACTATAAAGGTTGGGGGTCGTACATGCCCTCTTAACAAATTGATTCCTGGAACCACCCACTTGGGGGTATGTGTCGAGAATCAGGAGTCCGTTAGGGTTTCACCCTCACGAGGGTGTGATTCTAGACGTGTAACTTCTGCGAACGCTAGAAAGGCATTACCTATTCAGAAGAAAACGTGTCCGATAGAAGACACGTTATACCTAAAAATTCAACTCAACAGCCAACAGGTTGCTCTAGTCACAACATCGAAGTGTTGTACTATCGAGCTGTGGGTACGAACAAATCTCGAAAGAGAAGTATCCCAGAATCGGTCTCTCACTATCCTTGTGAGAGGCTTATTAGGATAGTATTATCAGAGTTTAGCTGCTCCAAGACCGTTCCACAGAGGGTATCGGTATTGGCTTTCCATTGAAGCGTCAAAACCCAAATCAAGACGCTCCCGCAAAAGATGATCGGCCATTCAATATGACGAATTCCCAAAAGTCACCATCAACATGGCTGAAAAAGGAAAGTATGTGTTCACTTCAAATAACGCTAATCCCAACTTTTCTCTGGGAAGAAAAGTCGATTCAGGAATATCCCAACGAGTGTCTCAGCTCCAGCTAGAAGTCGTCAGACATGGGGATTACCTGAGGATGCATGAAGGACTATCGTCGGAAGATGAACTTTTGGATACTTGCTCCACAATCACCTCCAATGATACAATGTCTAGCATGGGGCGAGCTCGAGAAGTAGTCATGATCACTACCGAACAAGTAGCTCAACTTCTTCAAGGAGCCTTGGCCAAACAGAAAGAAGGTTTTAAAATTGAAACGGAGATGGCCGTTCAACAGGTCAAGGATTTACATGCCCAACAACTTTAAGATTTATCAAATCAGCATGGTGAATCCAGTCATTGCAACACTACCAATCAGGTAGATAGCGATTCAGAAGTTAAAGAAAATATCAATACCGATACCCCTCCTAACAACATGGATGCTGGGGATAGTCCCATCGACAATAACAATGCTGGGGGTGGCCCTGTTGTTCCTCCCCAAAATCGCCCGAAGAAAGATGCAGTCGAAGATAAAAATATGAAGGATCTGGAAAGCAAAATCAATGCCTTGATGACTGCACAAGAGGTGAAGAAGACTAGTATCCCGTGTCCATACCCAAGAGTGTGGGATTCAATCTCGTACCCGGTGAAGTTCAATCTAATTAATTTCACGGTGTTTGACGGGAGAGGTTCGCCCACTTAGCATTTAATCTACTTCAAGTCCTACCTGGGAATGATCTCTGGACACGAACCCTTGATGATTCGGTCATTTGTAGGTACCCTTCGTGGGTCGCCTTCGATTGGTATCGACGTCTCAAGCTAGGAAGCATCAACTACTGGGACGATATGAAAACTCATTCCTCAGCAATTTCTTCGATGATGACACTGAAGTGTTAATTGGAGCTCTTCTGGATGAGAAGCAGAAGAACGGAGAGTCAGTTGAAACCTTCGTCAAACGCTTCCGAAATAAGACGATAAATTACCGAGATCCGGTCACAGAGGAGTTCATACTCTAGACGTTCCATCACAATCTCTCCCTCGATATCCTTGAAGTCATGGGGGTTGTCCCCTCAACCACCTGGAAGAAATTAAAACTGCATGGAGAACTGGTCAAGCACTTCCTCAGAAGAAAGAAGCCCGAGAGAAGCTAGCTGACAGCACCTGTGATTGCTGTTGATGTTAATCAAACATCACAACAATAACCTCAGAAATAGAGAAGGACTCTAGATCCAAGGTTCCAGAAGGAGTACTCTTTCAAAGATGATGAAGTTCCAGCCATCTTGAAGTACCTCATCGCCAACGACAAAATTAAGCTACCACCTATTAAAGATCAGGAGGGAGCTAAGAGGATTACAGATCCAAAATACTGTGCATACCACAGGAGGGTTCTTCATCCTACCAAGGCTTGCTTCAGTCTCAAAAACAAAACCCAAGCCTTAATTGACTCCGGCACCATAACAACAAAACAAGCCAAATAAAGACGACCTATCCTCCGACAGGTATATAAGGTTAAACTGCTCCTCCTTTTTACTCCAACGGGTATACGAGTATAAATTATTTCCCAAACCTCCAACTGCTATACGAGGCTAAACCGTTCTCTACCTTTGACGAGAAGTTCCTAGAGAATATTACACATAATATTCTTAAGGATAACCCAATAATATGGTGGAATACAATTGGATTCAAGTTCGCCAAAGAGCTGGGGATGGAATACCTCAATGCACTCCTGGCGAATACTACACATAGTATTCTTAAGGATAACCCGAAACCAATTGATTATTCAAGGAGAAAACCAACCATCTGAATAATTCACTCTTAATCATGATAAAAATGATTATGAACCACCGGCTGTGGCTGTTCAAACATGTTCAAAATGATTAAAACCCTCCCACTGTGATTTTTGGAGCACTCTTTCATTGAGATAAGATTCAAGGACTTCATCAAGTCAATCTTCCTTACGAAACTCTAAAATCCTTCAAGGATGAAGCATGTCTCACTTGTTTTTCCTTCATCAGATTCTTGGTTGGTTTCAATCGTCAGGATCAATTCCGCCAACTCCCA